GAATATCACTCAGCCATAAAAAGAATGAAATCTTGCCATATGTGACAACATGGATATATATAGGTCCTAGAGGATATTTTGCCAAGTGAGATAAATCAGAAAGAGAAAGAGAAATACCATATAATTTCATGTATATGTGAAATCTGAAAAACAAAATAAACAAACAGAAACAAACTCATAGATACAGAGAACAAATTGATGATTACCAGATGGGAGGGAGAATGAGGGAGTGGATGAAAAAGACAAAGGGATTAAGAAGTGCAAATCACCAGTTATAAAAATAGTCACAGGGATGTATAGTACACACAGGGAACATAGTCAATAATGCTGTAGTAACTGTATGGTGGTAGATGGGTACTAGACTTATCAGGGTGATCACTTTATAAGGCATATAAACGTCAAATCACTATGCTGTACATTGAAACTAATATAATATTGTATGTCAACTGTAGCTGAAAAATAGATTTTAAAAGAATGTTACTCTAGAAGCAGGTTGGAAGGCATTCGGATAAAAAGATGAGTCTGAGACTAGACTAGGGGGAGAGAATAGGAGGTAGAACAGTTATGTGGCTACTCTCTTCCAAACATCCCAGACCTGTAACAAACCTTCCTTCATGCTATTTAAAAATGCCTCCGATTAAAAGTCTAGAGAAAAAGATTCTACAACTTTTGACACAGAAGGCAGACCCTGTCTTTGCAGCAGAGGCAGGAAGCAGAAAAAGGTGTTTCCCCCTAAAACAGTGGTTCTCAACCTTCCTAATGCCGCGACCCTTTAATACAGTTCCTCATGTTGTGGTGACCCCCAATCATAAAATTATTTTCGTTGCTACTTCATAACTGTAATTTTGCTACTGTTATGAATCGTAATGTAAATATCTGATATGCAGGATGTATTTAGGCGACCCCTGTGAAAGGGTCGTTTGACCCCTGAAGGGGTCGTGACCCACAGGTTGAGAACCGCTGCCCTAAAAGTTCTGAGCCTCTCACTTCCATTTGCTGGGCGTGCAGGCTGCTGTGGCCACGTCTAACTGGCATCCTTTGGTGATTTGTTAATGTAGGTAAGAGCGCATGTCTGGTCTCAGAGTGGAGGGATGTTGAGAGGAGTTGTCAAGAGAGAGCAGTTCTCCAGCCGAGGTCAAATGGTTTCAAGTGCGCCAGGGCTTCAAGCCAAGGCGGTTACAGAGGAGAGCCCAAACGAGAGAATTACACAGGGGACCCCAACTTTATCTTGAAGAATGCACGGGTTATTTTCAGCCAGCAACCACTCTGCGTGGCCAGTCTCCATGCTGATGGGGACCCCCGGCTTCCTCGCACTTGCTAGAAGTCTCATCTAGCCCAAAGCAGAGTGTATGCTAAGGTTCATCCTGCCTTGCTGACAATTTCATCTTCCAGGGAGTAGGGGTTGGGACGGCATGAATTGCTACTCTGCACCAAATTCTGGCCCAAGGAGAAATCGATGGGCAGGTAGAAGTGATGGGTCCCTCGGAATACAAGAACGAAGTGATAGCCAGAGAGAGGAGTATGACTTTGACTGAGTAAAAATTGGAATGTTCAGAAGGGAAAAGGTGTAACTCTGTGGCTCAAGACCCTGAAAGACGAATACAATTCTGAAAATGTAATTCTCTAACTGTGTAGTTGCTAAATGAGCTGTAAGAAAAATGTGGGGCGAGGGTCAGGGAATAGAAACTGGCATGGTTTGCACAGGAAGCTGTCAAATGAGACATAAAAAATATGGAAAGAAGGTCCCAAAACCAAAGACAGAATATTAAAAGTGTGAGAGAGAGGCTAGAGCCCCCAAAGAGCTCAATAACCAAACCCAAAACAACAACAAAATCCAGTAACGAAGAGCAAAGGGATGAAGTGGGAAAATGGGTAAATGAATGGAGGTGTGTGTGTGTGTGTGTGTGTGTGTGTGTGTGTGTTTCATGCCATAGGGCAGTGGTTCTCAACCTTCTGGCCCTTTAAGTACAGTTCCTCATGTTGTGACCCCCAACCATAAAATGATTTTCGTTGCTACTTCATAACTGTAATGTTGCTACTGTTATGAATCATAATGTAAATATCTGATATGTAGGATGGTCTTAGGTGACCCCTGTGAAAGGGTCGTTCGGCCGCCAAAGGGGTCGCGACCCACAGGTTGAGAACCGCTGCTATCGGGGCTCAAAGAGAGGCCAGGCCTGCTTGGTGTAATGTTGATGGATAACATAAGACAAACAGAAGGGCTCCCAACTATTTTCTCCAGTCTCCCTGCCAGAAAATGACACTCAGATGGAAAGAGTTGAGTGGACATTGCTGACGGGACTGCAGTCCAAGGAGAGCGAACAGTAGGAGGAGCCCCCATCTCTTCCGGTAGAATTTAAATGTCTTATCATAGAGCATTTACACTCCAGGTCCTGAGAGAATAGTGAGGGTCTTTGTGAATCTTAAAGAAAGAGAAGAGGTGCTGGAAAGCTGTAAATGAACACGATTTATTTATATTTTCAGAAAGAGAAGTTTGGGACCCTAGGTCAAGGAGGTCACAATCATTAACGAGTAAACATTGTAAGAGACTAAAGAGTTTTAGAAACATCGAAGAAAAGGACGGGGGAGGCAGGAAGGGAATCGGGAGTATGATGGGGTGGGGGTGGGGCGCAGGGAGAAGAGGACCTCAGGACGGGAAAGTACCCGTGTCAAATGCTGCAGACAAACCAACTGTGCCTTGGCAGACGCGTTTGGACTTGGCAGCAGGACTGAGAATCAGTTGTACAACGCTTCCACCGTGGCTGGCTCTCTGAGATGGGGAACTTCTGATGACTGCTGTAATAGTGTCAGTTTACTCATGCCTTTCTGGACCCTTGCCCTTTGCTAGGGCCTGACACACTGCTCTTGGTCATGTGAATTGCTTTGGCCATCACGACAGCTATAAATGTGCCATAAGCAGAAACTTGAGAAATACCTATGCTTTGAGACATCCCCTTGCTGCTTTTGAAACTCTTTAGGACTAGCCTGCTGAAGGATGAGACACCATGTGGAGCAGAGACAAACCATCCAGCTGAACCACCTTAGATCAGTCAGCCCCCAGCTGACCCACCCAGCAGCTAACAGTAATTGCTTAAGTGAGCCCAGCAAAGATCAGCCATGCCTGGCCTAGATCAGCAGAACTGCCCGGCTGGGCCCAGTCCAAGTTCTGACCCACAGAATGATGGCTTTACAATAAATAAATAGGCCACTAAGTTTGGGGTGGTTTGTAACACAGCAAAAGTGAATTGTTACAGCAAGGCGATGAGTTTGTGTATCCGCCTAAAGGGGAAGCAGAATAGGTAAAATTTCTTTAATCGCTTGGAAAGCTATAACTTGGGACAAAGCCCTCTTGTTTCACCTTGCTTCCTCTTTTCCTGTCCAGAGACTATTTGTTCAAGGCTACCTTCCAAAAAGAGAAACAAACTGGTCAGTTTGAGGAGTTGAGAGATAGTTAGAAAGGAGTAGAAAGCAAGTGAGAGAAGAAAGGGAGTAAGAATGGACTAGTAGAAAGTCCATTCTTAGAGATCTATAGATTCAGTTATCCAATTCCTCTTGCCCCCTTCTTACATATAATGAGAAAGTTTACAAAAAGGTAGGTGGGTGTTCAGGTAAATTTTGAATAAAATTATTTCATACTTACTAGTATAGTCTGAAAAGGTAGGGTTGCTTGCAACTGCTTTATTAATTGCGTTAGATACGGTCGTCTCATTTTCTTCTGAAGTTTCTGCAAAAAGGTTTACTACTGTTACATCAACCAGCTTGTCACCAGCTCGCATTTCAGATCTTGCTGGAGCAGATGTTCTGAAAATGAAATGAATTCACACTTGAGGACCTGAACACAAGCATCAACAGATTGGTCTTCGAACTTCCTGTCCTCCCAAGTCTCCCAGTTCCCATCCTGATGCACAGATACAGCCATAGTTAGGGGCCTAATAAGGAGGCTGGCGTTGCAATAAGGTAGCAATTTATAGGCCCAGAGCTCTCTGCTCAATGTGTGTTCAGAGGAAACCTATGGCTAAAGCAATATCCCATTAGAGGATCCTTAGAAAAATTGTGGACAATCATTTTTAGAATCTAGGAGCCTGGGACTAACCAGATGGTCCCAGGTATACAGATGAGGTAACCCAAGGTCAGAGAGGTTCAAACAACTGCCCATCCATGCAGCCAGGAAGCGCCATGGCCAGGATTCAGATTTGTCTAAAGCCATCCCTCCCCACTATTCCTGTGTTATCCAGTCGTGCTACAAGCAGGAACTCCCTGTTGTCTACTGAACCAAAGCAAAGGCCTGGAACGGGGCCAGCCCCCCAGCAGCCGTCCCCTGTGAACTTCCAGCTTCAGAGCCTCTGTGTCAGGGCCCCGCCTCTCTGCCTGCTGCCTGCCCCTTGCCACGCGCCACTGTGCCTGCCCGTTAGTCTGCCTGCTGGTCTCCTGGCTGCCAATCACACTTGCCCCTCATTCACCGTCAGCTCAAAACTCACCAACTTCAGGAGGCTTTCTCTGAATTACATGCATAAATATACACTGTATCATATCCCATAAAGAATGACAAAGTTTATAAAGATAGATGCGATAGTCAAACCATAAAATATGGATTCATTAGGGCTGCTTTTCCTGCACAACTTCATTCACCCTAGGGCAGTGGTTCTCAACCTTCTGGCGCTTTAAATACAGTTCCTCATGTTGTGACCCAACCATAAAATTATTTTCGTTGCTACTTCATAACTGTAATGTTGCTACTGTTAGGAATCATAATGTAAATATCTGATATGCAGGATGGTCTTAGGCGACCCCTGTGAAAGGGTCGTTTGACCGCCAAAGGGGTCGCGACCCACAGGTTGAGAACTGCTGTCTTAGAGCATTCTTTCCTGGGGCTGCAGCACCTGGGTGTGGATGTGCTTTCAAGAAGGCTGATACAGAACCGCTAACTTCTTGAGACCCCTTTGCCTCTTTGTGTCCCTAAATAGCCCTCAACACTGGTCACTGCATATTGATGTGCTCAATAAGTGCTTGATTTTACTGCAGGAAGAGCTCACTACCGGTTCTTCAGCAGCCACTGGTGAGATTTGGGTTTGTCTCCCTCACTCCCCCCATATGCGGGAAGAGATGACCATGAGCCACTCATTCTTTTCCTGGCCCCTGGAATGCACATTCCGAGGATTGACCAGGTGTGGTTTGTAGCCAAGGAGTCAAACCAAACAAACGGATCCAGGTGATGCCCTGGACCATGCATGCAAATTGCTGAAGAGCCAATCACAGACAGCATCCTGCTGGCCTCAGGGTACAGTCTGCCCAGCCACACCAAGGTCAGTGTGACATCAGGCTGACCACCTCTTCCTGACCTGTGACTTCCCACTGGCGGCCTTAGTGCTGCACAGGGAACTCAAGAGAAGATGAGAAGTCAAGCAAACACACACCAAAGTACCCCACCGGTCCATAGCAGCCTTACCTTACTTTATGAATCACAGTCTGTCCATAATCAGGATTTTTAAATGCATCTGCAAACTGTGGCAGAGAAGAACAAATTTAGTAACAACTACCAAGAGGCAGGGAAAGTGGTACTGTATCTAGGTTTTAACATACATACATTTCTAAACTCCTGTATATAAATACACATGGTTCATTGCAGCAAATTATTTATTCTTGATATGCTCTCTAACACCTTTCAGTAATATATGCTGTAGAATGATAAGAATTTAATATAAGTCAGGGTTATCCAAGAAAAAGTTGGAAACCTAAAAAAGCAAAATTAATGGTCATACTTTTAAAAATTAAGGTGACTAACTTATCAGGTTTGTCTTTTTAAAGTCACGGTAAAGTTTTGCGTATTTATTAGACGTATCTATCTGCCTGCTCCATACACTCATCAATTCACCTAAGGAACGCTTCTTCAGTTGCCTACAAGGCAAGTACACCAGGGGATAAGACGGCAGGCGCCATCCAATCAGACCTGCCTGGCCGCCACTGCACAACAGAGCCAGCAAGTGAGGAGAAGGCAGGTCTGAGGTCAGGCAGATCTGGGTTCAAATCCCAACCTTCTCCCTCATCAGCCTGGTGACCTTCAGAGGGTTCCTTCACTTTCCCGGTCCTTGACTGCCTAATCCACAAAATAGGCACCAGAGTATTCTCTCTCCCAGGGGGCTCTTTGGAGAATTAGAAATGTTACACATACAATGCCCGGTCCCGCATGCAACAGGGCAACTCCAAATCAGGGACTAGCCATTTGGGTCCAGCTGGGTAAAACAATGGATCCTGGGAGACTTCTCAAGGTCTGAGCTGGGACTGCCCCAGCTACCAAGTCTGCTGAGAGGACCCTGCAGAAAGGAACTTGTCTCTATTTTCCTATCTCTCGGAGTTGCAAGGGAGTTCTGGCACATCTCTTTTGGATTCACAGCCTCTTGGAAATGAAAAGAACTCTCTCTCCCCTTCCTGGTGCCCCTGGGCCATCAAGACCTGACTGAGACCAAGTCCCTAAACTGGTCTCTGGAGCTGGAGGGGCCTTTTGGTGGCCACAGTGGCCAGTGCTGGGTAAAGGCACACAAGAAAATCCAGGGTCCCCTGGAAGGAGGAGCACCTTGACGCTGCCTTCTTCAATGTACTGACTCTCATCCAGGCTGGCAAATGGGAACGTGGATCCAGAATAAGAGGAGACCACATGGGCAGCTGGCCCGTCGGGCACAGGGGCATGACCGGGGCCAGGGCAGCTGGGGTTTTATCCCAGCAGTGCCAGGCACCAGCTGTTCCATCCTGAGCACTAGTTCTCTCTGTACAATCTGTAAACTCGTTCGGATAATCTTTTTTTATATGTTATCAATTCTAATAACAAAACTCTTTCGTAATGATGTAATTCCGAGTGGAAAGACATTGTCATAGAATAAGACCTTAGTTTTTACGGTAATGTCTTGCTGCACTTTGAGAAACACTGGCTGGATGCCTTCTGCAAGCCCCTGCAGGTCCCACGCCTGTGGTTCTGGCGTGGAGAGCTCGCGTGGACGCAGCCGCTCACGATAACCACAATGGAAAGGAGCAATTGTGCACCCTGGCATTTTTGACAATAGAGAGGAAGAGGACCAGATGTGCCTTCAGATGGAGTTCCTCTTCCAGGTATTAAAAAACACACTAGCTCAGAAATGTATGCATGTTGGAATGTAAAAAAAAAAGCAACATCTTTAAAAGGTTTTCTCTTCAATTCTGTGGAAATAATTCATTTTAAAACATCATTATATTTACCTGCTCATTTAAAAACATTCTAAGAGCTTATGTAATGACCAGTGTGGCATGGCTGGAGCGAGGACCATGGGGAGGCCCAGTGCTTCCAGGGACTCAGGTCAGCTGCTGTTCACCAACCAGTCAGAGTGCATTTCGCTATTGAACAACTACTGGGACAGCTGTACTACCTGAGTATCAGCCCTATGCTCTGCAACTCAGTGTTATACAGGAAGGAAGGTTGGAAAATACTTACAAATGTTCTAATTTCCATGTATAACTTTTCATAGGCCGGCGACTTTTCATCTTCCAAGCCAGTTGTTTCTGATACCTTTACTTTAATTGTTCCAGGGAAAACCTTTCCTGAAATTCAAGCAGAATCTTTCTGTAATGTTTAATGTAAAGAGGGTCATTTTCATGTTGTTTAAAAACATACTTTAAAAGAATTCTAAGCATTATATGATGCTGTGACAGGAAGCCTGGAAATGCGATAAATGTTACCCCAAATCCCACCCAACCTAACACAGCCATTTCCATTTTGGTATAAGGTATCCCCAACTTTTCAAAAGTGCGCTTTATGCCACCTCACTTTGACGAAAGGCCTACATCAGGACCTGTTTCGTGAACCAAAAGAAACCCTAAGAGGATTTTTGCTTTTATAAAAAACGGTGAAAATCAAAAATAGTGTTCAGCGTTTTAAGTAATTAATTAATTTGTTAATCCTCACCCGAGGGTATTTCTTTTCCATTGATTTTTAGAGAGAGAGGAAAGGAGGGGGAGAGACACAGAGAGAGAAACATCAATGTGAGAGAGACACACATTGGTTCGGAGCTGGGGGGTCAAGCCTGCAACCAAGGTATGTGGCCTTGACCGGAATCAAACCTGTGACCCTTCAGTCCTCGGGCCGATGCCCTAACCACTGAGCAAACCATCAGCATTCGGCATTTTGCAGCAAGCTGCTATAGAGGCAGTTCACACCCTGGACAGTGAGAGTGGCCCACCAGCTCCTTCCCTAGAAACACCCCTCAGCATCCCAGACCAAACGGCTATAGCTCTGCACTGTGTCTGCACTTTATCTCTATGTATTTTGTGCTTTGTTAGCAGTATGTCTCCTAAGATAATTGCTTCTTCATTTTACACCATTTCGATGTACAAAAGGTTTTAGTGGAAAGTTCTGCTTTCAGATAGCAGGGAAATCTATATTTCCCCCAGTTCCTTTTTTCCTATGCATAGTTTATATCATTATAATCCAAGTTTATAGCACGAATCTTCTTTACTTATATATACTAATAAAAAGGTAATATGCTAATTAGACCTGGTCGACCAGACATCTTCAGCTTCCTTCTGGACAAAGCCATGGTGGTGGGGGCTGAGGCAGAGGCGGTTAGGGGGCAATCAGGCCAGCAAGGGAGCAAGCAGTTAGGGTGCAACCAGGCTAGCAGGGGGGAATTTAGGGGGCAATCCGGCAGGGTGGCAGTAGGGAGCAACCAGGCTGGCAGGGGGCAGTTAGGGGGTGATCAGACTGGCAAGCAGAGGCAGTTAGGGGCAATCAGGCAGGCAGGTAGAGTGGTTAGGGGCAGTTAGGCAGGCCTACAGGGGAGCAGTTAGGGGGCAATCAGGCCAGCAAGCAGAGGCAGTTGGGGGTGATCAGGCTGGCAGGCAGAGGTGATCAGGCAGGCAGGCAAGTGGTTAGGAGCCAGCAGTCCCAGATTGTGAGAGGGATGTCCAAGATTAGAGAGGATGCAGGCTGGGCTGAGGGACACCCCCTACCGTGCACAAATTTCGTGCACCGGACCTCTAGTTATTAAATAATAAGCATTTTAAACATTTTCCCAAATCATTACTTGGTCTTTATAGCTATTATTTTTTAAAGCTGCATAATATTCTGTGAAATATATGTTCCCTTCATTGATGTAGTCATTTTTGTTTTTTAGCACTTCTAATTATTTAAAAGGGGGGAGGTTGTAATGAACATATTCATGCCCACACCTCTCTATATTTGGGGTCATTGACTTAGAGATAATCCCTAGAAATAAGATTATTAGCATGAAAAATAACATTCTTTCAGCTTTTGAAATACCTTTAATCCCCGTGGCCAATACTATGCATTTGTTTTCTATACAATTGATCTGTTCTGGCAAGGGGGGCATTTCTCATTCATGAAAATAGAAGTTCATTACAGGAAACAGCCTTGGAAACTTCATAGCACCCAGCTGATCTAACCAAAAATTGTTACGTCAAGTTTATGGCCGTTTGCTCCTAGTGTCCATTTCTAGACCCGAGAGGCTCTGAAGTCTCTAAAAATGGGGTTTGCTATTATGGAGCCAGCAAATCCTACAGCAGAGAACCAACCAGGCCTGTTTGAACACGTGGTCTTAGGCACTTCCCCTCATTCTGCCGCAGGGTCCCCATGTGACAGCACTACTTTGTGCAGTTGTTGTACCTTTTCAGGGCCTTCGACACCTGTCATTCCCATTGTGTCTGCATGGCACCATTCCCTTGGACAGGAAAAGTGAAGGGACACATCCACTCCCAGACCTCAGGACTAGCCCACCAACCTGACTGTCCATTTCCTCTCACACTTGGTTCCACGGAGACAAAGGCAGGAGCCATCTTTCTAGTTTACTGGCCTTTGTTGCCTCCAAATGTTCCTCTACCCCTCGTATCCTGGAAGCTCTCTTGCCATTATTTTAAGTTTTCTATTCCACTTTAATTAATTAATTATATTTTTATTGATCTCAGAGAGGAAGGGAGAGGAAGAGAGAGATAGAAACATCAATGATGAGAGGGAATCTTTGATTGGCTGCCTGCTGCACGTTGGGCCGAGCCCACAACCCAGGCATGTGCCCTTGATCGGAATCGAACCTGGGACCATTGGGTCCGCAGGCCGACGCTCTATCCACTGAGCAAAACCGGCTAGGGCCTATTCCGCTTTAGTTATGAGATGCAGCTCTGCATGGTTCATCCTTTATAACTCACCTTTATTGCATGTGGAAGAATTATAGTAATACCCAGCAGTACACAGGCAAAAGAATGAATTATTCAGACCCACACACGAAGCACCACTGCTACAGGGATCTTCTTTGCAAGGATCTGAGATGAAGTAGAAAGAGGTGAAAAATCCACAGAACGACAAATAACACCCAGAAACATACTTTTACATTTTCATGCCTCCTTCCTGGGAACCTTCTATTCCTTGGTTGTGTTATTCCAGGGCACACCCTGAGAGGAGTCAGAAGCAAATACATATTTTCTTATGTATCTAGGGAGCTTGTTGCTGAAATTCTGGAACAGGTGCTTGTGAACAGTAAAGGTCAGAGCTTGGTGGGAAGACTGTGCTCAGAGCAGTCTTCTAATTCCCAGGAGCCAGGAATCTCTGCACCTCGAGGAACCTCAGGAACCTTGGTGTCTGACCCTCTAACACCAGATAGGGCTCCCCAAACTATTTTATAGAAATCATCATATTTTTAAACATTTATTTTATTTTTCCATCACTATTTATCTCTATGTTTTCTTCCACCCTCACCCCTACCCCTACCGGCAATCACCACACTGTTGTCCAAGTCCATAAGTTCTCTCTCTCTCCCTCTCTTTTTTCTTTTTTGCTCAATCCCTTCAACACCCTTCCACCCCAGCTGTCTGCCTACTCTCTATCTATGAGTCTGGCTCTAGTCTGCTTGGTAGTTCAGTTTGTTAATTCAAGTCAAAATATGAGTGAAATCATGTGCTACTTGTCTTTCTCTGGCTGGCTTATTTCACTTAGCATAATGTTCTCCAAGTCCATCCCTGCTGTCGAAAAGGGTGACATTTTCTTGCTTTGTACAGCAGAGTAGTATTCCATTGTGTAGATGTACCACAGCTTTTTTTATCCACTCATCTACTGATGGGCACTTGAGCTGTTTCCAGTTTCTCAGCTATTGTAAATAAAGCTGCTATGAACATAGGGGTACATATCTTCTTTCAAATTACAGAAAGAATATATTTTAAGGAAGGTATAAGTAACTGTATTATAGGGATGAACAGGCAAGATGCTCCAAAAAGAAACTAGATGCTATGTTCTGGTTAGCATACATGATATAATGTGCCGGAGACCAATTCCAGCATGTCATCATTTCAAGAGTTTCATCAAAAGGTTGATGAGACTTGGGGACTCAAAAGGGTTGAGTCACACATGTAGTCACCTGTTGGAAATGGCTGAAGGCATTTCCCCAAACCTGGATAGGAAACTGACTGTGGCTGCCAGACAGCTAAAAGGCATTTTAAGCTACATGTTATTGCCTCCTACTGGCCAAACACCTGAACAGCCGTAGGCTAATTCCCCAATTCTGACGATGGACTCTGTAACAAACCCTGACCCTTTGAATTTGTATATCTCTGCCTCGCCTCAGGACAAGTTGTGTTAATAAAAAGCATGGGGTCCTGGGGACGGAGAGAACCTAAGACCTTAGACTTAAGATCTTGGATCTTAGCTCCTTTAGCTAAGCTCCTCTGACCTCCAATGCCTTTCAAAATTATATCTCGTCTCTGGACTCTTTATTAGTCTCTGGATTCCTATAACATCTACGCACAGCCTTCTCCAGATTCCTGAACCCTTCTTGATGCTGGGACAAGAACCCCGGCAATAATGAAAAGGAAGGAATGTTAAGGGGAGAATGTGGATTAAGTCAGTGACCATTCTAAGAGGAATTGATGAAATGACACTCCACCCTCTGGCTTTCTGAGTGGATGACTTGAATAAATGGTTAGGATAATATTGCAGTTGTTTTCTGCACTGCTGGCTGGGACCCCAGACCAGGCAGGGTGCAGCATCTTTTTTTATCTCCAGAGATCAGATGGGATCCAAGGAAGAAAGTTAGGTCAGTGGCCAAATGATGATCTTGGCTGGCCATTTTATTCATCTCTTTCAAATGAAATGATTCTGAGCTTTGATTTCTGAATAAATTAAGTGTCTGACAACCATCAGAGTTGTCTGGTTGCTTATGAACCTGTAGGTGGATATAACTTTTTTTTAAAAAAAATCTACATATAAGGTACAATGTGTATAACATGCTCTTTTTTGTGATTAAAAGGGGGAATGCACACCCATCCAGTGTGGCTCAGTGGTTGAGCATCCACCCATGAACTAAGAGGCCACTGGTTAGATGCCCTGGGTCAGGGTACATGCCCGGATTGCGGGCTCCATCCCCAGTATGGGGCACACGGGAGGCAGCCGATCAATGATTCCTTCACATCATTGATGTTTCTATCTATCTCTCCCTCTCCCTTTCTCTCTCTCTCTCTAAAATCAATAAAAACATATGAAGAAAAGGGGGGAACACACAAAAACACACAAATATGTATGTTTATATTTGTATAGATTATCTATGGAGGAGACACAAGAAATTGGCCGTAGAACTGGCCTCTGGGGAAGGAAACTAGTAACCTGGATCCTAAGGATTTAGGACAGGAGGGAGATTTAGTTTTTACTGATTATACTTTTACCCTAAGCTTCTTTTTCCACAAATAGTGGCCCCTCCAAACACGGAAGACTGGGAGCCAGGTCTTACATAAAGGCTCCATTTGCTTAATCACCATTTTTTTTTTTTTGATCTATCAGAGAACACTGGGGAAGCCGAAAGACATACGTGTAGGGAGACTCAGCTTGTTCTGTGACCTCGGGTAAGTGGCTGCCCCCTCGAGGCCTCTGTTTCCCTATCTGAGAGCAACAGGGTTTATCCAGACCCTTCAAGCCTAGGTTTGAGGATTCTTTTAGACCAGGGTTTGACAAACAATGACTCATGAGCCAAATCTGGTCAATCTTCTGTTCTTATAAAGTTTTATTGGCGCACTGCCAGGCTCATTCATTTGTATAGTGACTATAACTGCTTCTATGTCAAAATGGCAGAGTGGAGTAGTTGCAAGGGAGACCCTGTTGTGACCCACAAAATGTAAAATATTTACTAGTTTGCCTTTATCGATAAAGTCTGCTCACCCCTATGCTGGACCAAGCTTTGGGAAATGAGTCAGGTGGTTTGTTTCAATAACTTTGGCTTGAGGTCAGCTCTTAGACAGTATTCCCAGCACACCTGGCCTTTGGACAATGGCCCCGGTCATGTCTAGGGCGGTGTGAGCACTGCTGTTGTTTGGCTTTTTATCCCTCAGGCTCAAATTTCACAAATTGGCTCAAACTCCTGATTATGATTGGCCACCATCATAACCTGTCCTATTTTTCAATAACACCTGAGAAGGAATAAGGGTAGAGCTGACTCCTTCCTTAGATAAAGGAGCTAGACCAGGGTTGCGGGGGGCAGGTGGGGGGAGTTTAGGGGGGAGGGAGAGAGTGTGAAGCATTGGTGCTTATTTAGACCTGACCTTCACAGAGAAGCTGAAACTATTTTTGAAAACCCGTAGGGATGGGGCAGTTAGAGAAATGCCTTTCATAAAGTCTAAGTTTATAAAAATATTCCACATCTGGCAAATAGCTTAAGGTAGGATGGGTAGTAAGGAAAGGAGAACAGAATGGAACTGTGGGTAATTTTTTAGGGCCTCGGCCATCACTACTAGCCGTTGTGACTCAGATTTTTTAATTCCAAGGGTTCATATCCAAGGAAAACTTGAGTCTCTATAACCAGTTCCCTATCCCAGCAGAACATACTTACCTGCCACCCTCCACAATGCTGACTCCTCAGTGAGGTGTCTTTGAAGGAGTTGCTCTTACCTGGTGAAATGACACTGCTGGTGGTGGTAGTGGCGGTGGTGGTAGTGTTTGCGGGAGCGGCGGTGATGGTAGTGTTTGCAGGAGCAGCGGTGATGGTAGTGTTTGTGGGAGCAGCGGTGCTGGTCGTGGTGGTGGGAGTTTTGGTGGTGGTAGTGGTGGTGGGAGTTTTGGTGGTGGTAGTGGTGGTGGGAGTTTTGGTGGTGGTAGTGGTGGTGGGAGTTTTGGTGGTGGTAGTGGTGGTGGGAGTTGGGGTGGTGGTAGTGGTGGTGGGAGTTTTGGTGGTGGTAGTGGTGGTGGGAGTTGGGGTGGTGGTAGTGGTGGTGGGAGTTGTGGTGGTGGTAGTGGTGGTGGGAGTTGGGGTGGTGGTAGTGGTGGTGGG